TCGGAGCTCCAAAGAAGCAGACAGTGAGGGTGACATCGGACGACGCGAACTGCGTGTTCACCCTGGTCTCACAGAGACATAGAACCTCTGAACAGAGGCGACGCCGTATGCTGGCTGCAAGACGCCGGGCGTCGACCCTGATCCATGGTGTGTCTACCGTAGACGATGGCGCACAATTACACCCTCGTCACGGTCTGACGGGGAGGAAGATGGCGAAGTCCGCCTCGAGGCTATGCCTGCAGTAGATGCTCTTCTTGAGCTGGATGAGATGTCTCTTGTAGAGTTCGGCAGTGCCTTGAAGGCAGGCGATTTGGCCGAAGTGGTCATTGTACGACCAGACGAGGAGATAAAATCGTCGTCGTTTCTGGTTGAAGCTGTCTTGGAGGACACCAAGATAGTGCTGAACGCATGAAGTGGATCGTCGATCCTACGGAATCCCTTGGATCCGTACTATCAATTGGTAAAGAAATTTCAAGACTCCAAAGACCCGCCTTCGGTCCTACCTCCGGACCGAGGTGTGCGTCATGAGATCGACCTATCCTGGAAACCAAATACTGCGTAACACACCAATGACCCATGCCCAAGGAGCAGTGCGGCGTCATCGAAGCCTTTTCCGTGCGAAGCACGACGCAGGGTTGGTAAGTGAAAGCAAGTCTTCCCATTCGTCACCCACGTTTTGTGTTCGGAAGCCGAACGGAAAGTCGATCATGCCTACAATAAGCTCAACGCGGCCACCATTTCGGTACTGACGCCGATTCCTAGAGAGGATGTCCTTCAAAACAACATGGTGGGATGTACGAAGTCATGCACTCGACTTGGTAGATGGGTATCCCCAATTGCTCATGAGAGCGAGTGACATTCCGCTGAAAGCGGTGAGCACTCCAATGCTCTGGGGGTGGCTGATGATGCCCCAAGGGCTGTCAAATGCACCAGCAATATTTAATCGTCTTGTGACGCAGTTGTTCAGGCCCCCCAGGGCGTATGCACAGACATACTTTGACGACATTTTCGTTCACAGTTGTGCGAAGTACAGGAGGACGGATGAGAAGAACCACATCGTCCATTTGAGAACTGTGCTCGAGTGCAAGCGCACGAACAGACTGTACGCCAAGCAGACAAGTGCACCTTTGGCGCGGAAGCGTTTCACTCTTTAGGGTGCTACATTAGGAAGCGTGGCCTTCGAGTGGGTCCCGCTAAAGTCAGGGCCATTGTAGACAGGCCTGTTCCAAAAAACAGAAGGACTTGCGTAAGTGGCTTGGTCTCACCAACTACTTGCACAAGTACAGCATAAACTACGCAGAAATGGCCCGGTCATTATCCAGTCTTCTTAAAAAGGATGCGGAAAGGTATTAGAACACCGAGCATCAGGAGGCTTTTGAGGGGGTCAAAGACAGCCTCCTGCATGCACCGATACTGGCGTTGCCAGACCCCGATCGTTTTTTTAGCGTCGTCTGTGACGCTTCGGACTTTGCCATCGGCTGTGCACTGCTGCAAGCAGACGCCGAAAGCGAGATCGGGTGATCGCGTTAGAATCTCAACAGTCCAAAGCTGCAGAGAACTACCCAGTTCATGACAAGGAGCTACATGCGATGAAGTATGCACTTGTCAAGTTCAGGGTCCACCTGCTCGGCTCAAAGCCGTTTGTGATCTATACAGATCATGCGTCACTACGC